ATCAGAGCAAAATTTTAATGAAATAAAAAATAGATTAATTTCGAAGAGTACACCAAATTTGACCCATTTTCTTATTTTATTTACTATTTATTTATAAGATATTTCCTTGCAACTTGGATTTTTTTGACATAACTGATCAATTGATATTTATTCTCCATTTGTACATCTAGCAAAATAACACAGTCGTTGTTTAAAAAGTTAAATTTTCTTACACAGTATTTTTTATGTAACTTTTACATATGACTTTATATTTTTTTTAAGATCTGAAAATTAAGAACCAACTTCACATTAAAATCCTCTATTTCTTAGGAAAATTGAAAATTTTATATTCGCTTTACATTTAAAAAACTTATGCTATTTCGAATCACGTCATTCTTATTGATAGGAAAATGCATTATTCATGAAAAGGAAAAGAGAAACTATCACGCCCCTGAAGCTGGGTAGGACATGATTGGCACCCGATCTAAGCAACACGTCGAGTGAACCCTTAACTAAATTGTACTTAGAATCATGATGACTGATAAATCCCAAAATAATGTGGTGGCATGTTTATTAATTGAAAGCTAAATTCAAACTGATAGCTAAGTTATGAATCTTAACAAAATACCAAAATGGGACTAAAAAAATGTATAATACTCACTAAACCAAGTCATGAGCCTCTAAGAATACTGAACATGTACGGCTTCGGGGCATACCCCCGACGCTAATCCACGGTGGGGGCTGTGCGGCCGCACTCGATTTTGTGCGGTCCGCACAGGTTCACCGGTCCGACTTCGGAAGCCTATATCTTTTGATCTACAAGGAATTTTGAGATAATTCAAAAATGAAAGTTGTAGTCCTTCATGTCGAGTTTCCATAAAGTTAACTATATCACAATTTGGACATCTGTAGATAAAGTTATGGCCAAAATACTAAAATATGTCACTGCAGTCAACCTGGTGAGCTGTGCGGCCGCACTTGATTTTGTGCGGTCCGCACAGGGGGTCTGAAAGGGGTATATTAAAATGAGATTTTCAGTTATTTTTCATTTTTCAAAACCCTAAAAACATAAGAGTTGATTTTTCAAACAACATTTCTTCTCCAAAACCTTGGTAAGTGATTTCTACCTCGTTTTCTTTACTCCTTAACTTCTTTTTATAAGATTTCATCCTAGAATCAATGCTTTTCATGGGGAAAATTGGGTGTTTTGGGTAGAACCTAGGTTTTTAAAAAATTGGGAATTTGGACCTCGATTTGAGGTTTGATTTCAAAATAAATTATATATTTGGGTTCGTGGGGTAATGCTAATCAGGTTTTGGTTCGAACCTCGGGTTTTGACCATGTGGGTCCGGGGCGATTTTTGACTTTTTGGGCAAAACTTTGAAAAATTCATTTTCATGCATTCAAGTTGATTCATTTAGCATTTATTGATATAATTAAGTAACTTGTGACTAGATACGAGCAAATTGGTGATGAAATCGAGGGGTAAAGCTATAGTTGAATCGTAAATTGTGTTCGTGGCATCGAGGTAAGAGTTTGGTCTAGCCTTAGCTTGAGGGATTAGGAGTCGAGTCCTATTTGCTGTATGGTAATTGTTGAGTACGACGTATAGGCATGGTGACGAGTATCTATACGTTGGTGTCTAGCATGCCCGTGAGTCTTATATTGTAATTATCATGACTTCGTTGTATTATTCATGCCTTGTTGAAGATTTCTATTTATTGTGCAAAGTTAGTGAAAGGAATTGTGACCTATGAACGTTGAGGAGCGTTGGCTCAAGTTGTATAACGAATTGTGAAAGTATATGTGGTAATTGAACCCTTGGAGCATTGACTCAAGTTATATAGTGAGTTGTGAAATAAAAGTGAAAAAGAGAAAAGATTCACCATATTGACTCCCTTGCCGGGACTTGTTGTTGAATTATTGTTCCCTTGCCGGGATTCTTGTTGTAACTTCATTATTCCCTTGCCCTATTGTCTGTGATTGTTGATTGGGTGACGAAGAGATTTAACGCACGAAGGGTGATACCGTGCATTGTTTTGGTAAGAGAGTGTTAAAGCACGAAGGTGATGCCATGTATTATTTTTGTGAGGAAAGAGTGTAAAACACGAAGGGCGATGTCGTGCCGCACGATGTACCATTCCGTGCCGATTATATTGATTATATGGTGAGTAAAGAGAGTAAAAGAACGAAGGGTGATGCCGTGCACATTTTCATTATATGATTGCTTTGGTGAGGACGAGAGTAAAAGTACGAAGGGTGATGCCGTGCATTTAATAATTTCTGGTTCTTTGTTGATATCCGAGTTATATTGTTTCATTCATTTACTTGTTGTGTTTTTATTCGGAATTGATATCTCCCTCGCAGCATGCTCCCCCTCCTATATTTGACTCTTTTACTTCTGTTCTTCTTTTCCACTATATATAGTAGAATTGCACAAGTTATTTGGTAGCCTGGTCCTAGCCTCATCACTACTTCGCCGAGGTTAGGCTGAGCACTTACCAACACATGGGGTCGGTTGTGCTAATACTGTGAGCACATGATTTTTGCCTCACATAAATTACTCCTACAGAATTCCAAAAATTAGATTTTTCTTTTAATTATTTGTTATTTTAGGAATTATTGTAGAATTTTTCTGATTGTTTGCATTTTTGTGTGCATGTTTAATCTTGTTTAAATGCTAAAAATACAAAAGAAAATACATTGAATTTGCATTTAGGATTTAATTTTACATTTTTTAGATTAATTAATAAATTAGTGTTTTACAAAAAAATGGAAAAATCACGAAAAAATAACTTATTTTTGTATTTTGAATTTTTAGCTTCGAATATTGGGTAATTTTCTTTTAATCTGGTAGTTAATTAGTTGTGATAATATTTATTTAGAGTTAATTAACTTAATTTGGTAGGATAATTTGATTTAGGGATTAATTTAGGCTTTATTTTTAATTTTGAAAAGAAAATGAATTTTTGAAATAAAAGAAAAGGAAAAGAATTGAAAAGATTCGGATTTTTGGGCCAAATCCTTGAAATCCCCCAAGCACAATTGATCAAATTCCACATAACCCAGTCAAAATCAACCCACACCCGTCTGTTACCCGGTCCAAACCCCACTCAGGAACCAAACGACGTCGTTTCAATTGTTTTGATTAGGACCGTCGATCTCATTTGAACGGACGGTCCGGAACTGAGCCCCATTTTAATATATAACTGTCCTAAAGCCTACCCCTCCTCTCTAACTCGTCTCTCTCACTTCACCCTATCTTCAGAGATGCCTCCTCAACCCTACCGCCGCCCTAGCTTCCTCCGGTGGCGGCGACGCCTCTAATCACCCCCAAACCTACATCACAGACTCCCCTTCACCTCCCCATTCCAAATCCTCACTCCTTTTCCCTCGAATCCTGCCAGACCTGTCGAATCTTAAATCGAAGTTCGGACTCTAAAATCCCCCCCCCCCCCC